ATAACATAATAACATGCACCTCTATCACAAAGTACTTAATAGAAATAAGTGAAAGGCAAGATTTTTATTGTACACTACCAACATGGATATTATGGAAACTTCACTTTTAGAAGATACTATATAATGAAAGGGCTGATGGAAGTTTTTTGTCACTGCAGTTCTGAAACTATTCCTACCTTACTGAGTCCTCAGAACAGACTGAAACGTACTACTTGTGTTTCATTACGCATTGTGTATTGGTATACAAATTAATCAACAGGATCCTTGTACACGTGCAAGTAAATTGCTGTTCTTTCACACCTCAATTTATGCAAAAGCATTCCAAATACAAGGTCAAGAAAAAATATTTAATTTTGGTTTACACAAACCTGCACGTTTCTAACAATATTTTCATTTCGGCCTCAGTAAAATAAACGTTCATTAATTTCATTATGTTATTATCTGTCTCATCAAGTTTACTTTTAATTAAACCCGTGCTCTTACAAGTGCTTATTGCGGTTGAAAAAGCGGAGAAATAATCCCAGACATATTTTTTCTGAAATCCACGACCAACGCTCCTTTGACATACCGCTTCCATTATCTCACGAAGTCGGTATAATCACAGATAATACCAACAACAGAAAATACCGACATCCAATGTTAAAAGTTGGTAATGAATTTGGCCTATGACGTCTACCAACTGTTGTATTGAGCAAAGCGTGCGCAGATGCTATTTATTACCCCGCCCCTCCCCTTTGCCGGACAACACTAATATCATAACCAATACATCCCTTCCAACACATCACAAAAATATAACAATATGTGTTGTTTGCGGTGGACTGAAATTTTAAATGAAGAATGCGTATCTAAAAATTTATCTAAGGGGAAATCTCTGTACTCTTGCAACGTAACATCACTCTGGTGTGGTTCATATTCAATCACTGTGATGCAGGATATTCTTTGAAAAGTCGATTGGTACTCGACTTATTGAAGAACAGCCGACTTTCTTAAGGAACCCTAAGATCATCACCGGATTCACAAAAGCCCGCAACAGGACTCTAGCTGCATCCAGTTCGCTGCATCGGCTCCTATCTCCCCAAGGTCCATCTAAACGTTACCCTCTCACCTACGCCTAGGTCTTCCCAGTGGTCTCCCTTAAGGCTTAGCAACCAATACCCTGTAAACACACGTCCCGCCCACCTTATCCTCGATTTAATCACCCTAACAAAATCAGGTTAGGAGTACAGGCCATGAAGCTCATCATTATTCAATTTTTTCCATGATGCGTCTGCCTCCCTATTTAGTCCAAATATCCTCCTCAACACTGTTGTCAAAGTCCCTCAATCTGTGTTCTTCCCTTAAAATGAGAGACCAAGTTTCACACCCATACACAACAAATGGCAAAACTACACTTTTGTGCATTTTAATCTTTAGTCCTTGTATGAGATGGGAAGAGAAAATATTTTAGACTGAATTTAATCAGTTCTTGATTTCATCATGAATGTCAATCTGACTTGTTAGTGCCATTCACAATTTCTTGAATTTTGTCACATTTTCAAATGGTTCATCAGCTATCCTTACATTCTGGTTCTGTCTTGCATTCTGATGCTGAGACATGAACATATACTTTGTCTTTTCTTCGTTAATTTTTAGACCGACATCCCTACTAGCCTTTAGACAAAATTCAGCAGCCATGTTTCTCACCCATGTCTCTACTGATTCTCTATTAGATGGCTCTAGGAAAGAAATTAGGATTGAGTATAAATTGTGCAGAGGCAGTGGGCTTGTCACTACTCACATGCACTATACAAGACTAATAAGAAAAAGTTACCTTGAGCAACTGCCCCAAAACAGGTCAATAGGCCCAGTCCTTGTAGTAGTTGACGAAGTGATAGTTGAAATGAATTTATCTGAGTCCTATGCAACAGCTACTCAAGGAAATATTTTCAAACAGCATATATAACATTTTTTATTTCAAATTTTTTTGGCCTCATAAAACTGACATAGTTTAGGGCCTCACTCATATGGTCAAGGTCCGGCCCTGATAGGCACCACAAAATGGAACCAAGAATAAACCATAGATATATCATTAATGCCTTTGGCAAAAGGCATAATTATCCCGTATTTCGGAATTTTGATGCCAAGCACAAAACAATTCTATACAAAATTCCTGCTCATGCACACATTTAATTTTGATGTATGTTAATTTACATTTTAGTTCCATTTGCTTCTTGATGTACTATCTCAGACACTCAAAACTTCATCCTGTTTTATTTGTTTCAACAATATTCTCCTCTCTGATGACAATTCCTTACTTATTCATAGTTAAAGTAAAATATAAATTGTTATTTAAAATGTTTATGTAGTTATTTTCTGTTAACAACTGGTGCTGTTTAAATTAATAATTATGTCAAAATGTCTGTGTACAGTTAGCAATTCTTATTCAAATAGTGGGATTTTATTAATGGCAGAGAAGTGGATAATCATGTTGATGTCTGAAATCCCAGGACATACAAACCATCACTTCATCATCAAATAATTTCATATTTTTGAATCACAATGATAGTCTATAGGAAACTAAGATATAGATACTATTAAAATTTAACTTAGGGAAATTGGCTATTATGATGTGAACTGAAATCAGCTTGCTCAATAGTGGACCTTTATCATGACGGCAATGAAGTTTAAGATCTACAGCAAAAGGGAATTACAAGAGTCAAATATCAATTGATGCACAAGCCCTTCAGTTATGTAGCAACCATGATAAGAACCTGAAGGTCTCTAATCCACAATGGAGCAAGTACTTCTTCAACTTATTCAGGGGTGTGTGTATATGTAGTACACCTGACAATAGTTCATCATTTTCATATTTTCAAATTTACATTTTTAATTTTAATCTTACTCTTTATGACATAATTTACAGACAAACAGTTTATATCAGGCTTACACACTGCTTTCTCCTTTACCCAGTGAGGTGATAGGGTACGTATACTTTTTCTGAGCATTAACTGCCTTGTCATGAACCTCTCCAATATTTGACAACAGAGGCAAAGACTCCATGGCCTGGAGGTGAGCCATGCTTGTTTCATGCCCCGACAGGTTTCTTTTAGAAGCTATCAGACCAGTCTCCACACCAGATGAACACAACACTGTATTTTGGTCCTTTGTATGTCGCAACACTTGATCTTCTTCTCTTGATGAAGACACAATGTCACCATTCTGCTTCTTAAATACAGAATTCTCAGAGTTGGTAACGCACAGCTGGAAATCTCTTATATTGTTATTGCCAGTACTACTGCTGCAGAAACTGTTGTCATCTGTAACTGGACTTGTATCAGCAGAAGAAAAGTTTGGTTTAAGTGCACTAATACTGCTCCCAAAATACATAATGTTCTTATTAAGGATTTCTTTATCTCTTTGTCTGTCCTCTTTGGAACCACCTACTGCCAGATTGTGCCTGATGTCTGCAAGCAGCATTTCTCTGGTTGGTTTGTGTTTGTAATCATCTTCAGAAGGAACATGGTTGGATGACCTGCCAAGATGCAAGACCATCATACCTTCCAAGCTTGATGTAGAGTCATTGTTTTGCACCATAACTTTCCTACCATCATCAACAACAGCTTGCTCAGTTACAACAAACATGGCATCCTGCTGGCAGCTTGGACTTTCTGATGCATCCCCTGCTGACTCATCACTGAGGGAATTTTGTGGACTGAGAAATTTCACTTGCTTTGGGGATGAACTGATGATTACCATTGAGTTGTCTGCTGGAGAAAGTACACTACTTAGAGAAGCGGGCTGCAGGAATGTAATGGAACTACAATGCAGCGGCTGGGAGGGACGAGAACAAGCGGCTTTAACCTGAGAGTGGGGATTCTCATCGTGGTGAACATCAACGCTGACAGTAACCGAGTCTGCAGATGAGAATGGAGTGCCTTTAACACTAACAAACACTTCACTATTTGAGTTGTTACAGTTATCAGGAGTTGATTTTTCATCATCACTTGAAATATGTTGCTGAGCAGATTCAAAACTAAGGTCCTCATCCCCAGATGATGAATTTGTCAATCTTCTGCTTGCAGCATCAAATAATGGCTTTCGGACTCTAGAATTTATATTTACTAAACCACTTATGCCATTCGATGTTCTTAAGAACTTCGGAGATTTTGAGTTCAAGTATGAAACGCCGACTGAACTTCCAAGTTCTGCATGTACTGGTAATGGAGATGAACTAGTTCCTCCGCCACTATCTACTAGCCTAGAGCCTACGTAAGCATTCATGCACCCCCTATGGTGTCCGAACATATCTTTGAGTGTTCTGTCAATGTTGAGCATCAGACTACTAGTTCGGGAGCTAATGCTAGACACTTCTGAAAGAGACTCTGGGGTTGCTAGTGGAGCTAGGCCAAACCAGTCATCATGAATCAAATCAACTTTCACTGTCTTCAGTGAGTCTGTCACTCGTCCACTGTTGGAAGAATAAGGACCACCATTAACACCACTACTACCAACATTGCTGCAGTTATGGAAGCTTTGTAGGAGCTGCTCCTCCAAAAGGGATGCATACTCCCATGAGAGGACTGGATGGAGTGCAAATGGTGAAGTGATATTAGGGTGTCCATTATTAAAGGTCTTCGCTAGAGCACGTCCATTAGCTGCATCCAGAGTACTATACACATTTTGACTGCAGGTGGAAGAGTTGAGACTGTGGTTCTGATGAATATCAGAAGATGGACTCTGCAGTGATGTGAAGCTTGTTTCAAGACACAATTTGTGGGGTGGAGTGGCTGCTTTTGGAGATCCAGGCACAGCTGTACCTTTGGTGGCAGTGTAGTTTGTTGCTAACAAGTGGCAGTGTTCTGAATCCAGATGCTCTGCTGATGTGACTGCAGAATTAATGTTGAAGGATGACACAGCACGCTGAGGCTTGGCAGGACCAATAGTTGTTATAACCTAGGAAACAGATACAAGGCTACTTAGATATAATACAAAAATAATCTTTTGTTTTATAAAGTGAAACTTTTACAGCAACTGAAGTTGATGAAAGACTCACGGGTCACAAGCCATGAGTCTTTCATCAACTTAACGCACATGCTCTTCTTATCTCACTTGCTTTCTTTATTCAACAAGTTAAGTGATCATCAGTCTCTATAACAAGTTCCCTGTTACACACAATTCAGAAACAAGTCAAGGTGTGTGAAATAACTAATCTTAGTGTATAAGAGGTATTTTGCCATATGATTTTAATATTTTCTGTTTTCTTTGAAAAATTATAACCAAGAACATGTAAACATGATTAAACTGGCTGCCTCAATGGCAATATCAGAGGTAAATCCGTATCTTTCAACAATGTGACAAAATACATTGACAATAAACCAGTTCAAAATATTAATTATTGTTTCATGAAGGTTAAAATTTCAAAATGACCATAAAACACTTGGAAACTGATATAATTTGCAGGAATTCTTACCCACAACATTCAACATGTAAAAATATCAGGAAGCTACTGGAGTTATTTAGAACAAATATTACAGGTAACATGACAGCAATGCATCTATTACTGTGCAGAGTCCAAAACATGATTATTACAGTAAATGTAGTCTACTTCATTATGTTCCTCAACTGGTGGATTGTGATAACCAGGAGATCACAAAGTATGATGTGGAGGGGAAATTATGATGAAGAAAAGACACAAATTACAACTTACAGAATTGGAATTCCAGGTATTAAGATGCAATTTTTCAATTATTTTGCTCTGGAACAGATGTAGCAAATACATGAAAAGAGACCTGTCAACAGCGAAATATACACAAACAAGTGATAAGTTACTTTAATATGTGACTTATGAGTGACAAAACCTCAGCAGTGAAATCACTGGTAATTTATTAGATAGCCCACATTTAACATTCAGCAGTTTAGGGGAGGAAAATATTTCCAACTATCTCTTAATTGCCATGTCCAAAACAGATGTAAAGCTAAACCAGCATCCCATCCATTGATTTTGCCATGTGCACTATGTGAATATATTAAAGCTGACAACTGAGCTATATCTTGGGCCTAGGTCTAAGAATGCGTGGCACTCCATTTTCACGCTTCTCACAATATCTGACGGCAATGGACTCTCACAACCTGGTAATGGTCTCCACTCCTTCATACCACTTGACCAACTCTGTACTACAGAGAATCCAATTGGTAGTGATTTGACAGGCCATGGATAATTTTTTGAAAATTATCAGGCATGCTTTGGGCATTGAATTGTACATTAACTGCTGCACAAACACAAGAATTATTTTAAACCTCTTGCTAGACATTCATAAGAAATTAAAATTTTGAGACTCTACAGAATCACAAGGCAAGGTTCTCTATCTTTTAACAAATGTAAATAATGTAATGGTATACAGTTATCATTCTTGCTTTGTATCTGAGATGTCCCTATTTTAATCTCAGCCACGAGATCAGTTGTCCTGGCTGAGAGTTCTTTTGCTATCCTAAATTTATCTAGCATTATGCCAGAATGTTACATATGCACAATTGATGGCCACTTCCACATGTCTCCCATCTCTCAAGTAAAATAATCATTCTGCCATTTCATTTTCAATGCCACATATCAAATCATAATTAAGAAACAAACAGAACTTACTCAGTGCCACACAAAAAAAGATATTGGCCATTTTTCAGAAGTCATGTGGAAGAAACACTGAAATGGAAATAAAATGGTGTATCCTTGACTTATTTTTATAAGGCCTCACAACTGTGGATGAATAAGTTTTCATGTCAAGCATCGAGGAAATTAACTGCTACCATCGTCTGAGTATTCATGTAGAGAAAAAATTCTACAGAACTATACAGAATATCCATGCAGTGTGCTCTTGTGTTATTCTAATGAACATACATATAACTTTTCAGAATCTTTTATATCATTATGAAATTTTTTCAAGTACTGTAAGACACCACTTCTCAAAACCTACTTAAAAGTACATTAAATACAATATGTTACTGCCAATTAATTTCATAGGCCTTATGAATAATGTGTGAAAGTTTATTTTCCTTAAAAAATAAATAAAAAATCTATTTCTACTAATGTATCTGCAGCCTAAACAGGATATCATATCAAAAGTAAAATAGCATGTGCTTTGACAATTACGCAGTCTGGACATATAGAGTGGCACTAAAACTGTAAACACATATTATTCACTTGTGAACTTTACCTTAGGGTCACAAATGTTTACACTGTCATCCATTAACATCAATGCATTGTTCACAACAGTGCACAATAGACTGACCCACTTGTAAGCAATTTGGTAGCAAAATAAAAATATCAAAGACAATCTGTGAACATTACTACAATACTAGTACTGTACTTATGATAATAAGTAGTTAACCATCTTCACAGTAAATACCTACATATTTGTTGCATTGTTCTTGTCAGTGCCGAAGGAATATCTGAAATTTAGTTTCTTGTATCAATAGTTGTCATATTGCATGACAACCAGTTGTTTCATATTATCAAACATTTTTCTGTTAAACTTTTCTTTTTTAACATTGGGGAAAAATAAATATTAGGCGCTTGGAGGAAGACTGTCTTTCTTACTTACTTACTTACTGCAAGAGCTCAGATGAGCTAGAAAGTTCATTTTCATGATGATTTTTCCACTAGACAGATTCCCACTTTCTTGGTCTGTTTACAATGCAAATTTATCATGGAGATGTCTTAACACTTATAGTCTGATCTTGTGAAGTATGTTCATTGTGCACAACACCATCATAGAAAATCAATCAACATCGCTCTAGTTTTGCTGGACACTTGGTATGCCTTCTTCAGTTCATTGTTACGATTGCTGGTAAGTTTTGGAGCCATAATCATATACCAATGTTTGATCATATGCTATAATACTTTCAAGAAATATTTATAGGTTTCTCTGAATTTGTCAAGACAAAAACCACTGGCAATTAGTTATCTTACTTTAATGGACCAGACTTGACTGAGACACACTTCATACCAAAATCTTTGGTTAGAATGTCCTGGCATGAGCCATAGGAAATTTATGCCTGTATCCATTTAATTAATAGCAGATGTATATGCTATTTATTCTTTCTGGTTTCAGGAGTAAGCTGAATGTTTTGGGGTTACTTACATTTTCTAATATCACAACTTTCATTTCAGACTGTTTTTGAAGTTGAAAGTTATTACATAAACATAACATGTGCTGTTATCCAAACCACTAGAAACATGATTTGTTCAGTTACTGATTTATAGGCAAATAACAGCTGATGGCACTTTGTACAGTGTTTTCACAAGAAGCCATGGAGAAAGATAATGACTTTGGCTAAAGAAGTCTTTGTGAGTATACAGATCACTGGGCAGTTATTGTAAGCTAAGAAAAGGCTAACAGATTCACTGCAGCTTGTAGTGTTATTTTGTAAAACAAGAAGGTTGATTATAATACAACATGCATATTACAAAACACAACATAAGTTAAGAAAGCAGCTATGAGGAAGAAAAAAACAACTAAGAAGGATGACACTTTAAATTAGCCAAAGCAGTTTCGCAAGTTTGCTTTCCACAAATATAAACAGACAACATACAGTACAGCCCATTTGTAATACAGCTACTAGAGAACTTGCAAGTCAGTCTTAAAATACAACATTCAAAAACAAAACCTAACAATTTACTACTTGTCTTCATTACAAATGGGCTCTCCCATACGTATAAAGGGATGCTGGTGTGTCGTACCTTGTGTCATAACAACAGGTATTATTTGCTTCACTATGAACGTAAGGCCTCACTACCTCAGCATTAAAACGCTTGGAGTGAGATACAACCTACAGAGCAATAAAACAATCAAAAAGAAAAGAAAAACTGAAATGAGATTATCATCATCAATAATTCAATATTAGAACACAGTTACACAATAACAGTGTTAGAAATGAAACATTAAAAGCAAAATAATGTTAAATGCACATAGATATGCATTTCAGGAGCACAAGCCAGCTTATAGCAAGATTATTTTCACATACAGTTAGCAAGAATTGATTTTGACTGCTTTTTTGAGAATCAAGCATTTTATGATCCAAACAAGTTATTCAGCAAAACTTATGTCTACCCTTCTGACAACAGCTTGCATGGCTAGTGCAAAAATAATCTACTGCTGAGGAGGGAACATCTGGAGGCTTGAATTATACATATTCTCAATGGCAGTTTGATGGACAGTATATCTACAGCCTAGTGGACTCCAAAATTCCCACAATAAAATAATTATTATAAAGATCAGGAAGCAGAAGGCATACAGAAAAATCCTCACTGCATCAGCCAGTCTCAGTCCTGAGGTCTTTGGCATGAGAATCCAGTGTCTTATTCCTAGACCACCTGGCCCATAATGGTCTTTTCCTCATTCTTTATTTAATATGAGTACTTGTAGAAGACAGAGATATTTCCATTTCAAGTAGGAAGTTCCTAGCAGAACTTGGAATGCCTGCTTTATTTTAATGTAAAGGCCATTATAAACTATAAATTAATATTCTGCAAATAATTTTCTCCAATGTAGAGTACTAATTACCTGGCAGTTGCCAGACAGAACATTACAGTAGGGTTTGATGGTTTCACAGTGGTGAGTCCAAAGATGGCTATCTACTGGGTTGTAGCACAGTAATCTGGTAGCCTGCCTCCAACATCAAGGACCTCTGAAACGTCGGTAAACTTCTACTAGACTACATGGCGGAACAACCCAGAAGACAGCCGTCTTAGAATCTTACAGATTTGTATCACCACGACATCTGTACCTTTAGCATACAAAACACTGTATTATACAAAGTGTACAATAATACATTTATGATGTATTGCAGGTTCCTACTTGCAATGACTCATTGACTGTTGCTATGAAACAGGAAGTTAAATAAAATTGCACATGGCCATCAAGTTGTCATTTTGTAATGCACAGAAAAAAGACATCAACAAAGTTTCATACTCTTTAGTGATATAGAAAAATACAAAACTTCGTTGCTCTACAATAAATTGTGCTAGTGTCTGACCTAAGAAGTCTGCATGACTGCCTTGTTGGTATTATCAGTGGTAACAAATTAAGATGTAAGAATGTGGGTGATCTGTTGTGATATGATGTTATACAAATTTTAAAACATCCCTTGGTGCACAAAAGTTATTGGGGGTGAGAGAGCATAAACACAAACGACAAATATGAGCTTATGATACAGCAAGTTTGTCATTCTTTATTAACATTTATCAGCCGCACAATTCAGCTGACTGCACTGCAGTATCATACTGCTAAACTATTAAAGTTGGCTGCCAACATCATAATTCAAGGATTTAAATCACCATGATACAGCATAATCCCTAAGTATAGATCTGATATGTCTCAGACCATGTGAGAAGCTAATAATGTCATTTTACCATGTTATATTCTTTCTTTAACTATGCGTGCATATCTATCTTCTTTCCTACTCCCAATATAAAACATGCATACAACAAACTGTTTACACTTTGAAGGACACTAATGTCAAACGTGTTTCGACCTCAAAAGGTCATCATCAGTAGTAAAACAGGTTAATTCATATAATACAAATCAAAAAGATTATGATTTTCAACATATGATCCATTGTGCTTATGAGGAAGGTCATCAGGTAAGTTAAGATGAAGCTAGGATATTGTGAATTGAAACTAAAAGCAGGTATGGGTAATATAAAGAATGAGTCCACTGTTTTGACTAATCCAATCATCCAATGTAGTTTGGAGTCTTCTCCTATAGAAAGTTACATTGAGATCTTCAGTGCAATGTTCTTTACTTGGTTTTTTCGGTTTATTTTTTATGGGAATTTCCCATTATCATTGAGTATGAACACAATTTCTATTGTAAATTTCCTTATTATATCTCACTGACAAAATCTGATCTTAGTAGATGGTACTGCATTAGCGCATAATCTCCACCTTTTCACCATAACACAGAAAGAGATCCAATTTTTGGAACATTATCTTCTTTTAAGAATACTAGACTGATAAAACAAAGAAAACCTATAGTACGAATAGAATGTTCTACTTCCAGTGAAAATATAACACTGATAATGATAAATAACAAAAGGACACACAATTTAGAGTGGGTTATAGTGGAATCTTGGTATTCCCACATTCACAAAGCCTTTAGCAGAGGCACACTAAGTCTGCAACTAGATCTGATCATGGATTCAAACTGTATAACCTCTCAATGAGTCTGCTGTCTCAGCACAAGTGAAATTACTCTGGATCTATTTGATGAAAGTGCCATAAAAGCAACATACAATAACTGTTATAACATAATGACATAACATTTCATGTCTGTTCCAACTAGGCAGAAAACACCTGAGATCTGAGGTTCTATGGCCGTGAAACTACTAATTGTCACATGTTCAGTATAACAAACCAGAAGAACACAATAATTTGCCAGTGTAAACATAGCAGACACCAACGTAATAAGGGTATGCTATTTCTCTTGAATGACACAGAAGTATGTGGCAAAAGAGTGGCACAAAACACTTGAATTATGTTTGGTGTTACCTTGTTAAGTGCATTGAGGACGTTGTCAGGCATGTGGTCCTGGATCATGACTGGTGAGATAAGAACCTCATCAAAATCTGTGTTGTTTGCCCATACTGCCTGGTACACAGGTTCATGCTTGTTTAACACTTGCCTGGAGATGGAATAACATTATAATTACTTCTAGAAATTACTTAAGAAACAAATTGCTTCAGGCAATGTAAAAACATGTGTGTATGATATAGCAGAAGACTTAATGCAAATTTGCAGTTGTATCTTACCATGAAAACTTACATATTAAAGCCATTCATTTTACTGATAAGACTTTCAGTTGTATGATCTGAAGCTTTCATGGCAACTATAATAGTACAATGAATTCGTCTAGGACTGCCAGCTGAGGAAAACATTAAACCACCTTGAATGGCTGGTAGCCAAAAAGAATTCATTATGACTTTCAGTTTCTTTCACGATCTCAAAAAAGAAATTCATACTACTGTACAGCCCTGCAATGAATGTCTTGTGAATAGATGGAAAGATATGTTAATATTTACAATATGAACTGCAGGGCACAAAATCATGTTTGACTTCATTAAGTAAAAGACTAAAGGTAAAGGCGCCCTTGTGCTTATGCATTATACCATGACACAGTGAATATATCTATATGTACTGAGATGGCCAGGTAGCTTTCAGGCCCTTGGGGCATTGAATGTAACATCAAGGCTTTCTGGGAATGTCAACAGACATTATATACTCTGACTAGTTGGAACAAGGTCATTGCAGGTTTCAGGTTAACAACAATGTGCATGCCTTGTTTAGGGAGGGATCAAACAATCCATTCCTCAGTCTCAAACCAGCAATTTCACTCCCATCATGTGTTGGTAGGCTCATAGTTAAGAAGCGGCTAAAGGAGAGGCATTCCAAACATTGGGCTTCTGCATGAGCCATAAGAAGTCAAATCACTAGAAGGTCTGCTGATAAACTATCCAGGGACCTAAAGGCCTCAAACAGGAAACAATGCAAGATGATAACACGGTTGTCAACTGGTCATTAAACAGAGGCAGTATCTACATATTATAAGCCTCTCAGAAAGTGAATGGACCCAGCAGTGGTCTGAGTGCTATGGTGACTGAAACTGTCCCTCCTAGATCAGCTGCAATAAAATACAACATTGACTATTCAAACCATATAAATTTAACAAGTGAAATTACTTAATCTTAGCAGGCACTTTATGCGTATATTTTTATAACACTTGTCAGCTACTAACATTCATAACTTTGTGACAGAATTCTTCAAATAACTTCTGTTATATTCCCTGAAACATTGTAGCTGTATAGTTTCCTCCCACCTGTAATTTTATCATCCTAAATATATATACTTCAATAATCTGTCAGTTCTTGCAGTCTTGTGTTTGTTGTTGAGTGTTATCTTCTGAGTTGTGACCCATGTGGTATTGTAAGTGGTTAGTGTTTCAAAGGAATGTATCATCTATATCTCTAAGGCAACCTAAAGATGGAGGTGGTACGTTCATCTGAAATGTTAATAATCACCTTCAAGACTACATGGTGTCACCCAGAAAATCACTATTGACATTTTAAATACTACGAGAGCTCTAAAAATCTTAGATATTCTAGCTGTTCATCACTCTAAACTTATAAGTGCAGGCATAAACATGCAAGATTATTTACTATTTTTTTATAATTAATTTCTTACATGCTTATTTCTATTTAATACTTAAAACTTAAAAACTAAGGTATATATTGAAGGGATCACTGAAAATTATAACCTATTAGGAAAAGTAATTTGGTTCAAGTAGCAAATTTTGTCAGATTGGCTGGAATAAAGTTAGCTACTGATATTCACAGCTAACATTTCTTCTTGTCTGTGAGCATTGAATACTGACATCTTACTAGATACAATGTTTGAACACTTGCATAGAAAGGGGTGGGTTCAATCCTTGGCTAAGGTGACATATATTTACCACTCAAACCAAAGCAAAATAATGGAAATACATTCTCAGGTAATGTATTAATAAGATAAACATGATATGAGTCCCGCAATATTACAGTCACAATCAATAACCTGCAATGGCATACACAATGTTTTTTCATGCTGGAAAATAAAGTCTTACGACAAAACATGGGCTGTTGTTACATACAGCCAGTCATGCAGGGCCACTACATTGTGTGATGCTGGAACTACTACAAGAACTTGTTATTATTAAATTTCATCACCTGACCTCCTCCTGGCCATGAATTCCAATCGGACAGGTGAGACAAGCAGGTGTTTCACAAGTACGTTAATTACACAGCTGATGTCATGTTTACCTTCAGGCACTTTTGAACATATTACACAACAATTGAAACTAATGGTTAATAATTGAGAATTTTAGCTACAATGAATCTTTAAATTTCTTTGCATTACATTCTATATTACTGTGGAGCGCAAAGTTTTGAACCACAAATCAAAAACTGCAACTCACATCTATCTCATGTCCTAGTTCAATCTACTGTCACGACCTTTCTCACTCTAACCAAAATATATATTATCTATCCTCATTCCAAAGCAATGGTATTCCAACCGCCTCCTTTTCATGTTTTTCCATCCTCAACCATGTCTTAATAGAATTCAGTAAAGAAATTCAATTCTGAATTTCAACATTAAGTATATTCTCCAGCAAAATAAAAAAAATTGAAATGGGTCCACATAGATCATCAACATACAAGTCTGACACTTACACCTACATCATAAAATCTTAGACAGCATAGTACTATAGAATTTAACCTTTAACTTTGTAGGTAAGAAATGTTCCTGATAAAATTACTTCATCTCTTGTTGCTAATATATGAAGGAAACCATTAAATAATTCTGACATGACATCAGCTATAAATACCAATGAGTGTGGTCATGAGTCCACTACAAAACAGCTGCAGCTGCAGAAGAGGTTATGTGTGACAGGAGAAGATCATAGAACAAGTCCAATGCCTACTTAGAAATCAGATTTATGCTTTTACATCTTCAGATACCAACTTAACAACACCAATACCTTACATTTCAGTTGCCTACATACCTCCATCTTTTCTCGTATTTCTGCCTACAAGAGAAAAATTGATGCTCTGTTGAAAAAATATCATTTCATCATACTTAACCATATTTCCCCTTACAGTGGAATGTATTTTTTTGCTTATTTATGTAATTGCACCATATTTTCCATAATATACTTTTAAAATTGTGAAAACTTAAAAAATAATTCCTAATACTGCATAGCTGGGAATTCTAACATTATAACAGTCTTAGAAAATTAACAAAATAAATCGAATTCCTAATACTACATAGCTGGGAATTCTAACATTATATCAGTCTTAGAAAATTAACAAAATAAATCCTGAGTTTTAAAATGTGGGCACACCAGTAGAGTCAAACTTTTATGCAGGTTCCAACAGTTAACCCAAAAATCAGCTTCACATTTGGCATATATGAACACTGTGTAATGTGTACTTTAATGCTAGTAAAACAAGACAAACTTAATAAAACTGATTAAAATTAATATTACTTAAAACAAAAATCAAGCCAAATATTAGAAAGAGAAGCAAATTATACAGAAATTTAGTGATCAAATAATATCTGAGTCACAAAAATCCTGAATAAACTGAATCAGAGTACTTGGAAACAATCTTACATGCTTCACTTATTAATCTCCTCAGTGATGAATTCTAAACTTAAATAGGCATTCAAATGCACAGCAGCAAATGTGTTAAGCATAAATTCTTTCACTTTTGTTTTGTTGGGAAACAGAAAATTTGGCTTAACTGCAGATGTTGACATTTGCAGACTGTTTATGACTGCACAAATTGTTTAAAAAAACTAATATATCTCTGCTGTAAGAACTACTTACTCTCCCTTTGTGGGGTGGTGTCGTACTATGTGTATGATGCGGCCTGGTGGGTACAGCGGCTGATGGAGTGTGAGTGCAATACTGGAATCAGAGGGGTGAACAGCCACTTCACGTGCTACTCCTTTTGCTTTCAGGTACTCAGTCATCTGACTGTCCTCAGCCTTTAACTCAGCAGCTGAAGTTGGTAGCGATGCACAACCACAGCATATGACACTACAGACTATCGTCTTCCACTGCAAGGGAAACAAGTAGAACCAATTTACAAAATATTCTATGTCAATGTTTAACCCACAGCAGTTCAGGTAGTAAACACAGCTATACTTAGAAGAGGGCTTAACCCATAAGCGATGTGAGACTGCAGCAGAAACAATTTTTCTTTCTTCGAGATTATACATCATGTAAGATACGTAATGGCAGATTTAAAATTCTCTTGCATGTCAAACAAATCTTCAGCCAGATAGGACTACCATACCTTGGCCAGTCTGTATGATCTAATGTCACTGTTAGTGCCACATCACCAGTTAAGGGTTAATGGTTTAAATTCCCATCATCCTAAGAAGTTGAAGTTGACACAAAGAGAAGGATATTTTCACAGCAAATTAGATGCAACAGTCAAAGTTGACACAAAGAGAAGGACATTTTCACAGCAAATTAGATGCAACAGTATAATTTGCTAATGAAGATAATTACAATATATTATAATAACATGTACATTTGTAGACTGAGAATTCAAAACACCCCAAAATGAAACCTTACGTGTACTACTGTGAAGTGACTGGTAACAGGCGACATGGACAGGGTTCACATTCCATCTCTGGCACTAGAATTTTTCTCTCTACCATGTATATAGAATGTTTTTGGATCCCAATGAGCTCCTTATCAAATGCATACAATGGGCTATTTCCCTGGGGAACAAGTACCTGAAGTGTGAAAAGGACAACTCATCTCTACAATAAATGGAGGTTTTCTTTCACATGATCTATACAACTTTATGAATGGACAGTTAGTCACAAAGGCAACATTACCTTTAACTTCATTTTAATTTTATAGTTTATATAAATAGAAAAGGAGAACCTAATTAAGACCTTACTATGCAATGACTTGAAATGAACATAATGGCAGACTAGTGTATGCCAAATGATCATACATGCATTTTTACATATACTAAGAAGCTTCCTTCATCATGTTTCCTATAATTTCAGAACTAGAGGCTTTTAATAAATTACCATATTGATTCACAAAATTTTCTCACTTTTAAACCAAAAATACATATGACAGCTATGGTACACAAAATTTGTGAATAAAAGTTAAGATAAAATAAGATATTTATTCATTTATATTTTTAAAACTATTCTGAAAGTAGGTATGCATTAATTACGTGAGTAAATACAGTTATAGAGAAATATTTAATCTTTCATTTCATACATGTATTACTCTACAAAAAATCTGTCATAATAGCCAATCCCTAACTGGGTTTCAAACCGAATACCTCCCAAATGTAATTCACCACTGTGCCAACTTGCTTGGTGATACACGATAGGTGATCATGGACTGTGATGTGGCATGCACCTTGGGGTCTTTGCTTCTCTTGATGGTGTTAATGAGGTCAGCCCTTAAGGATTCTAGCTGATGCAATCCAATGCGTGGAACCACATCCTTCCCAACAACCACTGAAGTTATGAAGGACTTGGTGTATTCCACAGCTGGCATGCTGCAACAAATTTATAATTTCTGTTAAGCACATTTTAACAACAAAATATATGCTAAAATAAAAATTAGGATCATCAACCTTTTGTCACTTATTACTTCCTATGCTGTTAGAGGCACATCCTTGTGAGGTTACATGAACTTTTAGTAAATCAAATTTAGCTTAAAATATGACATTTTATATATATCTTGTATTTTAAGTTAATAGTGTTATGATTTCAAATGCTTAATCCCTTCAGTTTTTAGTGTAGGCTGATGACATACATTCTGCTACACCTACTGTGATCTAATCTGGCTGATCCTTAAAACCTGTTTTATTACTGTACATGCAATTTATGTATCTGTTAAAAGTAAGCATAACCAAAATCTAAAAAGATTTAATATTTATCATGTCCTGTCACTGCAGCTACCACAGGAACTTACTGCATATGCTACAGAAGAACAAAATTCATCCTATTCATATATGATCTAGTGAAAGAATATATAAATGTATATGGTTGATGAAAGTATAGCAGCCTATCATTTACTGACATCTAGAATCTGATACTCATATTTTCTTCACAACCCAAATTAACTTGGTTTAGTAATAATGTCACAGAAGATAAAACATTATCCAAAATTAACTTAGGTTTTTTTTTAAATCATGCCTCCAAAATATCTCGAAACAATCGGGAAGGCATTTAAAGAGACTACTAGTTGGTTACAATGTTGATGTTGAAACATATCATTTATTGGCCCAACTTCATAACCAGAAGAAGTAAATGGAAGGGTAGAAGTCATGGCCTATTTCAAGGAACCATTATCTAGAGCAGCAAACTAAAACTTTTCTGACAAATTTTAGTCCAAATTTGCATCGAACTGATTGGACATACATGGATCAAACTACATTTCTAAAAATTTTTACCATCAATCTGCATTTAAATCTACCAAAAATTTTGAAGTACACTGTGATAACAGACATTTTTCACTTCCATATTAATTTAATGCAATTTATGTGAAGAACATAAAAAAGGAGAGAAGTCCTGAAAATCTGAAAGTTCACCAGCTTTTATTTGCTACTGAAAGTTATTCACATATTATATAACTAAAAGAAATATGACTGAAATATATGTGAATAATTCAATTTGTATTCAGATTTAAAAGTAAACTAGTTATTTTTTGTAACTGGGATTTTAATATTATTTTTCATTGAAGCAATTTGCTTTCTACTAATAGATTTGCATCATTCAGTCATCTGATTAATAGAATAATCAATTAAACATTTTGCTTGACAGCACAATTACACATCAGTATACTGACATTTGAAACCCCCCTTACCTCAGAGATCCCCCCGGCGGTGAATATGCAAAACACTGCAATGTGGGGTAGTCTTGCCGCAGGAGAATTGCAAGAATGGAAGCTGTACCAGCACCAAGCGAGTGACCCACCAGGACCAGCTCAAAGTCCCGTGTCCCCCGCTCTTCATTATGGCTGAATGCACGTGCCAGTATTGCCTCCTCTTCCAATTTATCTCGGATGTACTCGGCTGCCTGAACCATACCCTACAGTGTCAAAGTAAGGGTATCATTCTCTTTCAAAACACAATTTAATGGGGATCAGGTTAAAGGAACTTAAATAAATAAAATATTTTACAATGGAAATTAGTTATGGCCAATTACTTGGTTCATTGATGACTCAGCTCATATAGTTTTTGTGACTACCTCCTCATCACAAAATAAACAGTACAAATATACAAAAACATAAGCATCAAACTAAACCAACTTAAATATAACAGTGCTGTTTCCTTTATGTCAAACGCAGTGGTTAAAATCACCATAATTTATCTTCTTAAATTTGGCAACACATCTTCCACTACAGATGTTACAATCAACCAACCAAAGTCTCATTTGTAACAATGGAATGAACCACATTTTGGTGAACCCATCACTAGAGTCAGAAACAGTACTGTATCGATGTTTTCTTGGATTATGGGCTACAACCCATATCTTCCATTGGTCAATAGCTGATCAGATATTATCTTGTGATTTGGGAGGCCAAATATTGAATCATGGCATTTGCCTGGGGACTTTGAAACAGAAGAGAGGGAAATATTAAAATGGATCTCATACCAATTATAAAGCATGAAATGAAATGCAGTCAAATGGTTGACATTATTGATGATGCTTAAAATTTGGGAATATGGGAGCAAGCCATTCTAGTCTGTTTTCCGGTTAAATTATGGCACTTCTCTGGGCAACTGAGGAATATCAGAAAATCCCCAGTTCAAACCAACATGCTTTATTAATTCCTCTTTCACAACAAATCTAAAAACAGTCTTGAAGGCTGACCTTGTGACCTAACCAGTCTTCTCTTGGTGGGTTCAAAGGCAATGGCTCTCCTTCTGCATTCAGGTCAGTAATTACATCCTGAAATCATAAAACAAGAACCATTACATGGGTTGTGTACAGCTGCCATAATTTCAGATAAACACAATCAAAAAAGTATTAAGAGAAACTTATGATTTGAAGCTTTCAGGGCGACTTAACTCAATAAAATCTTCTCGGGCGATCAACCACTTCTATCAGACTTCATGGCGTTACAACCCAGAAGAAAACCAACTTCGTAATCTCTGCTGTAAAAACCTCAAATCCTACAGTACAAATATGGTACAGATGCAATTATGAAGTGCATACATAATGCGAACCTTCATGGACAGTGTGCCTCGAATGCTGATTACAATTTTGTGCCGAGTGAAATCAACAGCTACAAAGAACGGAGTCTCGCCCACATCCACATGGTACGTTGCATAGATCACTTCCACTTCACCAATCTCAACCATCCGGCGCAGTGCTGCATAGTTACATTGGCAGCAATTATCTGACACAACTGTTGCACCATCATTCATACCCATACAAGGGAAACAGCAACATCTGGAAGCAGCAAAATGGTTAGCAGAAATTGCTCCATGCATATACATTTTTTTTTATTAGTGTTGTGTCTGAGGACAGGTCCATATGAACAGGATCCTTCCATCCTTTTCTCGGACTGGGACCTGTTCATATACGTTCTTGGCAGATGATCCAGAAGTGGTTTGCCATTGCCTTCTTCTGTGTGTGGATGGAGTAATTGTTGGGATGCCACGGAGAAACCGGGGAAGCCCCCGTAGGAAAACTCCGTGTTGCCTAGACCACGGCCTTGCCCAACACAAGTTATAAATTCGGGCACCGCCGGGAATCGAACCCGAGACCCCAGGATTACAAGGCCAGCGTTCTAACCGCTAGACCACCGTGGCGATCTGCATATACATTAACAACAACAACAAATATATATATATATATAAAAATAAAATTGTCCTTGTAAATTTCTATATGGTTACTTCCTTGTAAGAAAGGCCACGAAATACATAATTTGTTCTAATTTATAATTATACTGTATGCCAATATTTATAGAAGCTTCTCAGTTGAAAACATTATAGCCCTACAAATACCACACCAAGATGTTTATCCCTCTATTTTGTATCTGGAAAGTCCCAGGCTCAAATCCCAGCCCACAGACAGATTTTCTTAATGATTTTCCTCTGCCACTCCAGACAAATGGTAGAACAGTACCTTGAAATAGGCCACAATAACTTCCTCCTATAAGGTAAAGTAAAGTTTGTCCCGCTATACGCCATGTAGGCGTTTGGGGTGAGAGGGGGTATAGCTCCTCTCTTCCTTGACCTCGGCACTAGATGGGGGTGAGTGGTCAGCCCCGGCCGGCTTTACCCCCGGGAAAGGACCCCGGTACCCATTGTAGAGGAGGCTGAGTGGGCCCCAGAGCCGGTCTGGACGCAGAGACTAGAGGAAAAATCCTCTGCCCCCGTCGGGGATCGAACCCCGGTCGTCCAGCCCCATAGCTAGTCACTATACTGACTGAGCTATCCCGGCTCATAACTTGTTTTTATAATTAATTATATATTAATCATCTCATCATTCAATGCTATGTAGTCTGAACTATTGACAGCTGTTAAAAAAATCCCTAACTAACTAACTAGATGGCTTACCGAACCCGAAGGTTCATCACCGAATTAACCAAAGCCCTCCACCGGACCCTGTCCTGGGCCAACAAAATCCAGTCTCCTTCAATTTCTATCTCCAATGGATCCCGCCTGACATTATCCTCCCATCTATGTCTAGGTCTCCCCAGCGGTCTCTTCCCCTCCGGCTTCCCAACCAATACAATTGTCCCATCCATGCATGCCACATGCCCAGCCCATCTCAAAGTTATGACATTATGCGTAGCCATATTACACAATGTGTAAAAGTTATCTGTTCACCTCACGATGTGATCCTTAGATACTTAAAATTAAATGTACAACAAAACCTACAGATCAGTGATATCGGTAGATGTTACCTGAGCCGAGTGCACAACTGACAAACACCAGTGCCACTGTGGGTCATGAGGAACATGGGCCACCCATATGCTCCCAGAGCAAAGTGCATATAATGGATCACAGTTTGGAAGTGCTCAAAATGCTCTGGATCATTCAGAGCTAGGAATTGAGTCTGAGATGTTACTGCAACTCCTGACAGGTACTCATAAGTGTCATTCTTGCGCTGCAAACCAAGTGAACAGTTGAACGTGAACATATGAGCAGTATGTACAATGCTTATGGGCAGTATCAACTAATATTATAAACCCCCATCACTTGCACATAAACTTCTCTAGCATCAGACACAACGTGATGATTTTTAACATGTATCATGTAAGTAAAATCTAATTTTATATTTAAACATTTCCAAACAGCAAATGAAAGTTTGACTGAATGTATATGTTCTTCCAAAGTTTAATTTATTCTGTTTGGGAGTTTTCCACGATAACCATCACGGGTGTTTCTATCGTTGCTAAAGGTCGCTGCAATGGTTCGGACATGGCAGCATAATACTCTAAAAACAGAACAACAAGCCCTGCAGCACAAATTAATGTATAAAACAAACACATCTCCTATTAAAAAAACTTTGTAGAACTAATAAAAAAGAACAGAGACTTTCCTCTTCTTTACCCACTTATATGGTTGCTTTCACTCTAATAGCATTAAGGTAGTCTAGGTGATAGAGAGCTCTTTTTCTTGTTTTGTGTCCATACTGCATTAAACATCTGGCAATTTCTTTCACTGCTCTATTGCACAATAGTACATTCAGTACAGATATAGGATACTGGAAAAATATCTGCCAACTCCAGCCAACAAAACCTTCAATTACTTTATTAATGTCACCCAGCTTTCCTCCAATTATATATCTATAAATTAACAAAACTAATCACCTGCTTTACTATGGCTTCCCTCTCAATCTTCTGGAATTTGCGCAGTAGAACCAATCCTGCTACGACATCTGATGGAACAACATCTAGGTCCCGAAAGAAGTCAGATAGAAGTCGTGCAATGTCTGTAAATGAATTCTGGAGAGACATTTATGTTTGATAATTAATATGAAAAAATCATCAAGATTCATTCTGAACCATACAAATGACTTACAAATAATCAACCTGTTACTTAAACTGGTTTACCAAATATGGTCATATCACATATTATAATAACAATGAGTTTAAAGAGTTTTCAATTAATACATAGAATTTCTAATTAAATATAGTATAGTAATGTCAATAATGTATTTCTCTTACAAAGTATTTAGACTTTCAACTCTGTAATATTAGAACCAGGGAAATTTTCACTCCACATCTAGTAGAGGTATAGAGTAGTATACATCTAGCATCTTCACAGATTTAAAAAAAATCACCATGGGCTGCATACATCTTGTACCTATTTTGGATAATCAGAATTGTAATGACTTATACACATTTTTAACACATATGTTGATGTAATTATTATTATTAAAATTATGAAAATGTTATGTGGTAAATATTTTGTCATCATGCAGGGTGATACAGTATTATAAAAATGTATGTGTGCCACAAAAAACTTATCAGTGAGCTACAGATTGCTAACTCCTGGCCTGTTTAATTTCATTCTGAGTTGCATTTATCCTATTTAGAGTAAGGAGTAGTAACTTTTCTGGAAAAGATGTAACTTACATGAAATCAATACTTACATTAGTATATCTCATTGTTTGCAATTGGTCATTCCGCTGCTAAGCTTAATATCTTTTGTAACTAAAAAACACTGTATAGCTAAGGTAAATAAACTTTGTACATAACAATAAAAATTATGTAGGAAAACTGTGATTACTATTTATCATGACCAACATACAAAACTGGAAGTAACAAGAAATTCTAGCATCCATATGTGCACATTGAAATATACTAGAGGTGAGAAAGAAAAAAACACATAATAAGACATTATGGTTATAAAGAAAAAACCCAATATAATTGTGTGCTGTGCATACTCACTCTATTCCTATCAGAATTTCTCATGCAGCAGAATAGTATACGACATCTGTGATCCCAACTGTCTTGATAAGCACGAATCACCTTTCTGAAACAAATGTCAGATAGAATATAAAACCTGGTATTCTCAGAATTTACACAGTGGCATTCATCATGTCTTCAATTGGAAGGAAGATGTCATGTCACCAACTGAGACATGTAAGCAGTCCCACGTATTCACTAAATGTTACACGAGTACTGATTTCAGTTAAAGTTTCAAGAAACATGTCTATTGTTCTAGTGGCCTCCAAGGTATGAAATACTATCATGTAGTCATAAGTTTAACCTCCAACTGTGATACCTGGTGCTTGTAATCTTGTATTTAAACCTGCAAGTGACCTACCTCTGTCTCCAGTTGCGGTGCCTAGTGCCTGATCTTTTATACTGGAACCTGGATTCAGATTCCCGCATGCTACGTTGGTACTTTTTCATTTTGACCCATGAACGCCCTGCTGCATCAAATGTGCACCAAACAGTGATGACGATGCTCAGCAACACACACCAGTTGCATATCACAATTCCTGCAGACAATACACACAACTCTATGCAAATCGTTTTACGGTTATATTGAGATTTTTAAAATAAAGCAGTTACATTCTGACATTTGAGGTTTTCATGGTGGTGATCATAATGATGCCTTTCTTCTACGTTTCGGTGCCATGCAGACTCATTGGTAGATGCCAGTGTTTTGGAGGAACATATTGCCTCCATCTTAAGGGCTGAAGTGGCAATGCTACCAACCAACCAACCAACCAAAAGCTAACTAAGAGCAGAACCCTGTGCAAGCACAACACATCATCCCTTGCTATATTACACCATTCCAAAAAAAACAAAACACAGCCCTGGAAACGGTGCCTTAAAACGGACACAAAAATACTCCTCCTCTTGGACATTATCAGCTTAAAAAATGAACTGAAAACTATATTAAATACTTAATTATAAGTGAATAATGTAGAAGAATTCACTATACCTACTTCCAAAACTGAATCATTAACTATCACACATTATGAATTGCAAAATTTGTGTGCAACTATCTCTTCCTTCTTCATCCTCTAACCATCATTAAATGGTTTCTTTAGAATTCTGATCACTATAGATCACTTCATTGGGAATCATGGAATACCACCCATGTCAGTACACAGGTCCAGTCTGTCAGACTGCTTCTGTAAAACAAAAGAGAATAATTTGCCTACAATAATAGTTGCTAGCCAGCTGAAGCGATAAGGGTGGTTATTGCAATGCAGTAAGCAATTACTCTGAATTCCGTAGGTATCAGTTCGAACACAGTAATAATGTAATACAACCACTTTCACAGACTTCATGGTCTCACAGACTGGAACTGAGTTCTTCAGGGTTAAGGTACATTATAATAACAGCCATAAAGGTTTATATTAGCTGACCTTCAGTATCTTTTCAAGAAGTAGTTCAGTTTCTCATGACTTTTCATCTCTTTTGCAAACTGCCTTTGTAGGACAGGCAATGTTAAATGTCCACTGAATTCAGTTTTGTGTAATCATCAACTATGTGTGTATTCTCACTTTCTTTTGCAGATTACACACAGAAATTTGAGCACTCGTGTCATTTTATAGAGTTCAGAGGCATATAATCATAAAATGTTTGTGTCTGTTCACATTTCCTCATGCAAATACGAAAATAAGATATGTTGACCAGATGTTGTCGGTACGAACGTTTACATCCTGATAGAGGCGTTAAATTATGCCCTTGCCACATCCTTCTAATATACATTACTAATAGAGGCGTTAAATGCCATTGCCACATCCTTCTAATATACATTACTGTTAATTATACAGTAATAATGTTACTTTTGGTGTTATATAGTCTGACAGCAACTAAAAGCATAATTAAATTAACCATTAATAAAAATTAACATATTAAAGGAATGAGATTAATTAAGTCATAGTAGTTGACACTCTAGACTCATATTTGGGACTTTCTAGACTAAAACACGATTCAGTGACCTACTATACTCATTAATATTTGTAATGGTTTTTGCCAGACAAATGCTTGGGCAGTACCAAACATTACAACATGGCCACTTCCTTCCACATTCTGAACACTCATCATTCATAATAATACTGTAATTTATCATTTAAATTGAGTAAATTAAATGTGATCAGTTATGAGACAGCATCTGCTGCTTTGTATTCATTTTGCTTCATATTACATTTTATTTCTCAAAGCATGTTTTCTCAGATTCACTCAGTCCTTAGACTCGCTCTCAAGATTCATAAAGCTTATTTCATCTGTACTGTGGCAGCAAATCTCCAAATTCTGGGGATTATAACTATGAAATAATGACAGGCAGCAATGAAAAGTGCTCAGAAGCACCCATGCTCAAGTTTGGATTTGAACCTGCAATCACAAATTTTGCTTCCCTAATACCATTTGTCTCTTCGGCAATATGACAACCAGTATAGTTTGTTATTCTCGGTATATTAAGTAACAATTTATCTGCATTGTTACATAGTGATTATATTTGATTCCACTGCCTTGTGACAAATAACATATCTGCACATATATTATATTTTTTTCTTACCCAGAATTGCTTCTTTGGCTCCTTCAACAGGGCAGTCATTGTAGTGATATGTGAGCCACGTGACTCCCAACACCAGCCACACAATCTCCATTAACATGATTCCTGCAGCAAATCAACACATTTACCTTTACCATCTATGTATCACAGCTCACACATGATGCAGCTGGCCTCGTGTTGCATTTGCATACAACTAAACAATTAACCCACGACTGGAAATCCAATCGGCAACTTAAATACCCTATTTCAATATGACAAAGGTTAATACTGTATTATGAACTGGACACTACATAAATTCCAGCCAACAGCCCTGTTTTAAAGGGTTTTAAAAACACTGTTCACATACAATAAAAGTTAAGGAGAGCGCTACAGTTTGGATTTTTAAAACTGAGACCATCATCGGTCCCAATGAAAGATACTAGGACAAGAACTTGACCATGATGACAATAGCAGCAGCAGCACCGCCACCTACAATAACAATAATGCCAAAAGAGAGTTCCTATTTGGCTGATGCGAGCTCAGTTTAAAGTTTGATGAAAAGAAAAAGAAAACACTCTGAGGAAAGGCTTTGTGACTGTACTCACCAAGACGTATGTAGAGGAGGTACTGCATGGGTGCCCTCGCTTCAGTATCCAGGATGCTGCCTCGCATGGCAACCACAGAGATGAAGAACTCAACCAGCAGGGAGCTGGTAAGAATAGCTAGGTACCCTACCATGTGCTCCCACAGGAGGGATACACATCTCACAGACCGATCGAATTCCACAATACCCAGCATCACACACAGCACAACAATCCTGCAACAGGGCACCATTTTGTCAGTGTATCACACTTTTGTAATAGATCCTCTTATCGATAACGTATGAATTTCGATAGATTGTGGTCTTCCAGATTGTAGCCTCACAGTTCTCTTATACTTTATGGTGGATTAAAGATTAGGAAGCATTTTTCTGAGAATAATGTCACCTTCACGCAGTCTCTAACAAGGCTCAGGTAACAGAATCATGGCCATGCAACTTTTTTATCTGGTGTGAAGGAAATGCCACTACCAACTTTTAGGTTAAGTTAAAGTATTGTTCGTAAGTATTTGATTTGTTCAGTGTCGAAAGGTGTCGATGTGTTAACCTCGAACATATTAATACATCGATGGTGATGTACGAAAGCTGCAAAGAGGTCTCCGCTTTATAAGGTCTTGTGTTTAAATTTGGCCTCATTAAGTCTGATTCTTTTTTAGCCTACATTTCTTATTCTTTAATAAAAGCCAGGCTTATGTTACAAGTCTGTCAGTCGTCTACCAGGCATGTATTAAGACTTCGTGAATCCGAAAGCTATGATAAAGGCAAGGCTCATAACAACTGGAGAGCTATAATAAGAATTATTATGATCATTAAACATTTTTGTTTGGATAATTTCATACGCAAACCTTCTCATGATGGGCAATATATGAAATGAAAACAAAAGCGAGGGACCTTGAGCCTGGTTGAAACTAACTCGACAAGAGGGGTTTCTGTCTTTCCATCGGTGAATCTAGGACGGAATAACCAACTTCCAAATAGATGTGGTCTTAAAGTAACATCACTGGACGATTAATAAAGCCCAAGAGAATAATTACAGACATTTATTGTCCTGTCCAGGCATCCTTTCCTACGGCACTAAATCTGTATAATGAAAATATGGCGACAATCTAAATCAAATATTTATACATATAAAAGTCAATACATTTGCTAAAGGAAAAATTCTTCTGGGATATTGCTTGTGTAGACTCTTAGTAAAATGACATCTCACAGATGTCTCCATCACCAGGGAACTCCTCGCACTGATTAATAAAAACTGTCCCTTCATATTTCCTGCCGTGAGAATTTGAAATCTCACTTATTAAAGAAAATTATTTAGTCTAATAGACTAACATATGCGCCTGTTTGGGACAAAAAATTAAATAAGTTTTTGATAAATTTCTACTAAGTTTCGATAAATTGTCGTCATGCATAACCTGGCGGCCCGCGAATCGATATTGTGAATGTAACCTCAAGTCTTTCAAATTTTTGCAAAACCCTGGTCTAAAGACACTTCAGAAATCCCTCTGCTTATCTCATTGCCACGTTTTCAACATTCACTCTTCCTTAGCCTCATTATTTTATAATACAATCGTATTAAAAAACTATCCACACTGTACCAACACTTCGAACACCGACATTTTGTCTCTAAATGCAACATACACAAACTTCAGCAAGTGTTTATTTTATGTCAAATTTCAAGGTTGCTCTGTTGGCTACTGGAAAGGGCTACTTACGGTAGGGTACTACGAGGGCGAGTTTCCCCTTCAAGCCTCTTGGATTAGGTTTATGCACAGTAAGTTCCTGTCTGATAATGAAAAAACACCATTGGTCATGCAGCCAGCATTTTAAAAGAAAGCGTTCAAACGACATGAGTGTAACTAGCATAAACTACTTACAACTAAAAGGTTGTATGAGAATCTATTCTTAGAATTTAAACAAAACGGAGTCTGTTGGATATGAAGTCAAAGAAAATAACTAGCTAAGCCATAAAGTTCTTCTGCCAAATATTGTCTAGTGTCTGTATTTTCTTTACATCAAAAGACTGCTGTCAACCTACACGCTTACATTAAACTTCTGATAATAAGATTAAAAATAGTACACAACTTTGATGTTAAATCTGGAAAATTTAACGTAGTTGGAATTTATGGTTGTTTTATTATTCCACAGCTTCGTCATACAGAGCGAAATACCCGATGGAAGGTGGACGTGAAAGATTTCACAGAAAATTTTGTTTGCTGTGTTCCCTCCCAAAATCTTTATTACTACATACACACGCGTTAAAACCATTTTAAATCCAAATTTCCTACAGGGGTTAACAATTTAAAATCCCTTTTATTATTCTGTCCCTAATTCTAGGAACATTATCGTGTTATGAAGCAATTCAAAAAATTTGTCTTTAAAATGAGCCTGGATTTTAAACATAGACGTCTTTATTAGAACATTTCTCTGGTCCCGTGATTTATGAGTAAAAAGCAATGTGCGTTTAACTCTTATAAACTAAAATTGCTTAAGACGGAGAAGGAAATCATAGAGTAATGAAACTGAATATATTGCTCATTAACAGCGTTTATATACGAGATTTGAGGTTCTCATATTATCGAGTATAAAGATGGCTGCCTTCTGGGTTGTTGCACCTTGTAGTATAATAGAAGTTTGTCGACATTTCAGACGTAGTTCCTGCCTCTCTGCCTCTAGAGTTCGATAAAACCATACCACATTAAACGGCGCAACATATCAGAAGACAGCCATCTTCAATTTGTCATTTGATGCTATATAACCTACTCAGTTGATACACAAAGAGAGATAGTGGTGATAATCCATTTCAGAAACACTATTCTGGGCATCACCTGAAGAGAGGAGGGCAGCCAACTCCCGAAACGTCGTGTACAGTGGAAATAACTCCGTGATTCGTTGATCGTACAAGGGGAGAATACCGCGAAAGAACGGCCCCATGTCATATCGCAAGTGAAATTGTTAAGCATAGGCTATAGGAGCAGCGTATTGTCTTAATTTCAGTTACACTACGCATGCGCAGAAAGACTCTTTGTCGTATTTCCTTCCGCTTTTACCGTGGAGTTATCTATCACAATGTTTCTGTAATGAATAAACTATTGTCATATATATTTAGAGAAAGAATCCACACAAATACACAATCTCTGTGCTTCGTATGATTGCAAGATGTATAGAAGACTCGCGTAGTCAACTTGTGAGACGTACCACAGCACGACGTAGCAGAATGGTGTAGCGGTTATTATCTAGACTTATATCAGGACAGTGTACCGACTGCCAGGAGACAGACCTCAGCAGCGCGCCTCCATTAAAATCCGCAATTAATCATCATTCACGATCACGTCTCAACCTCATTCGGCTCTGCAGTCCAGAGATTTGTCTACTGGCTGAAATTTTAGAATTTAACCCGGTCCGAGGGCCATTTGAAGTTTATCTTCAAATACGTTACCCGTAACCCACCAACTGAGCAACTATTAGATTCTTAAGAAGAATTTTACTTCAGTTAATTAATTCATTATCTGCGTTTGAGAACTTCCTAAAATTACATAGAGTTACTATTTGCGGGACTAAAAGCTTTATTTTCGTGGTTCATGTTGGCGATTCCAAATTCCATCGCGACGCATGAATTTGCTGAAACCTGAAAGTCTGTGGGTATAACTTTAGTTGAGTGGTGTTTGTTGATCTGGTTCATAAAATCCTTACTTTGCTTGACGCTATCAAGTTTCTGGCCGTAAGTTTACTAACCTGGACGTAGGTGCAAGAATGTAGTTACAACTTTTGGTGCGTAACACTTAATCGTGTTTCGTAATTCTGGCGTCACGGTCTCCCAGCCATGGACATATTCCTTGGTGTCTTTAATTAAGAAGGGCAGCACAAAATACAACTTCTACTCTGGAGTGGGGTTCCCCGATAGAAGTCCCTCCATTCCCTCTGACACCCTTTATAAATTTATTTTACTTCTTCCATTTCACTGTGACATCAAACGACACCCAAGAGGATGGGGGAGAAATCGGCGAAGCCAAGGCGAACTAGTAAGCCGACTTACTCAACTAAGTTCCCTGCAGTAAGCTGTTCAAAAAAGTATTATTTTAGATTGGACGAAAGCTGGTGTTATAAAATATTTACATATATTCTCTTTAGGCTACAAAACAATATAACTCAGAAATGTTGAAATTTAACCGGGACGGGTACATCGCGTGGTTTTAAAAGGGACAAGAATAAGTTAAAAAATGTGTGCAGAGCATAATAATTCTGGCAATTTCCCCTCTGTTATATCTTACACTCTAGAAGAATGATCTTCATACTCTATTCCATGGGAACCTGAAATCTCACTAAGCTATATATCATTGTATCACCTTGCTGACGAATATGACAGAGAGACAAACTTCGGGACTCGAATGGATGTTAATGATCAGGCCGTCTTTAACGACGGGGACATGTGAACCAAGGAGCTACTGAATAGTACGCTAAGTGCGAGACATGCTTGTACTGAGGGCAACTGTCGAGAATCGAACTCTGCTCATCTAGTCTATAGTGTTTCAATTTACAGACGGATCAATGGTGTTTTACGGCGGACTTACAAAATCTCGGTAGGCCCTATTCAAAAGCATTAACAATGTAGTTAAATTATTGGGATATTTTCACTAGCCAAAACAGACGCAAGACACTGGAGTTCTAATAGTTTTAGTTTTTACATTGCAGAGATTAATTTAAATAAATATATCTAGATATAACGCTTATATATTAACGTTTTATACGCAGATTGGTGTATTCTGTTGGATTCATTATCCTCTAGCCTTACCGCCTGCAATTCTTCTTCTACTACACGCTGAACACAGTAGTCGGAGAAGTTGTCGCAATCTACAGGCGTACCTTTCTATAGGAATTAACTATAGCACCACAACCGTTAATAAATAACGCACTGATTAAGCTTTTGATTAACTTTATAAACAGTGAAGTCTGAATGTTTTTGACGATGGTGTGACACACTGCACACTTAAGACAATGGATAAGTCTAACAGAATAATTATAGTTCAAACCATCGTTAGAAATAACCGTACTTCTTTATACATACAAACAGTAAGTCCTATAGACCTGAAGTATCCAAAATTCATAACCGCGTCACATTTCTTGGATATAAACGTAATTACGAAAAGTAATAAGATAGAATACAATATTTACACAAAAAAACTACCACAGACAATATTATAAATAATAGTTCGTGTCACCCA